GATCTTATATCTGCTCCTATTTACAACAAAAATTATATTAATTTCAAACAATAATAAAACAAAACTAAAAATGCAATGCAACTAAAAAAACAATTTCATATTTCTTTAACAATTTTGCTTTGATCATTTTTTAAAGGAATTAATTGATCCAATGCTTTTATAATCATTTTCCAGATTATTCCACACTCTTATACCTTTTACTGAAGTACATCTGACCTTCAAATTTGTTCGGATTTTTGGTTTAACAAACATTTGTAATCCCTTCAAATTATAGCAGCTTTCCCTTTTAACAAAATTAGATTGGATGTTTGAAGGTAACACATTTTTATGAGCCTTAAACATAACCTGCAGAATATGATATTCAACCAACTCAGAATTTTAATAATTTTAATTGATGAAACAATGTATTAGAAGGGTGATAGTAACGATTTCTTGTGATAATTCTTATGGCTCTTTTTTGTAAAATAAAAATAGGATTAGTAATGGTTTTACATGCATTTGCCCAGACTTCTAATAATTCAAATGTGGAATGATAATTGCATTATATATTATAAACTGAGCTTTATCATTAAATAACTCCTTCACTTTATACAGCACTGCAATAGATTTAGCCATTTTTGTTCTTAAGTAATTTATATGGGGTCTCCATGTCAGTTTTTCATCACTGATGGCTTCCAAAAACTTCACCTCACTGACTCTACAGATCTCAATACCCTCTATTCTAAATGGAACATCAGTTGTTTTCTTTCTATTATTGAGTATCATATAATTAGTTGTATCCAAATTTAATAATAACTCATTAAGATTAAACCAATTTTGTACTTTTACAAATTCTATTTCCATCATTTCCAACATCTGTTCTATGTTTTTACCCAAGCAAAAAAATGTTGTGTTATCTGCAAACAAAACACATCTAAACAACCCCGACGTATTTACCAAGTCATTAATGTGTAGAAGAAACAACTTTGGTCCCAGTACAGGACCCTGTGGAACCYCACATCCAAAATTACAAAGTTCAGATCTTACATCATTAATTTGTACAAACTGTTTCCTATTGGTTAAATAACTTGATACCCACTGTAGTGCTGGACCTCTTATTTGTTWAAATTCTCAAGAAGAATACTGTGATCAGTTGTATCAAATGGTTTAATTTAGGCTGTCCACTTCGTCCAATTTCCTTTTAAATCCAAAGAAGCTAAAGTTCTTCTAAACATCAGCTTTCCAKGTTTGAGCTGCTGCAGAATCAGAAGTCTCTCCTTCATTAAAACCTTCCTCTCTGCAGCGTCACATAGAGCAGCATGAAACCAGACTGAGCTGCTTTGAAACTTCTCTCATTTGAAGAAGCCGCTCGGAGCTGAGCGGGCAGCGAAAATGARATTCGGGGACGTGATGCTGAGGCGGCCTGGGGGCCGGTTAGCTGCAGCTCACCTGTGAGCAGAAAGGTGTTTAATGCTTGATTAGAGCTGCTCTGCGCTCCTGAGCTCCTGTTCTCTTTGCTTAAAGCCTCTGAGAGAAATCAGCACAATTACAATGAGCCCTGGTCCCGTTAAAGACTAATCACAGAGAGGAGCTGACGTTAAATAACAGCCGACGGCTTTCAGATGGAGCCGCGCTGCGACGTCCAATCAGACCACGGTTCAGCCCTGATGCATAAATATGAGAGTGAGCTCCGAGGATCAAACAGATTTACACCTGGACCACCTGAGTTCTGATGTGAGTCACTGCACCTGCAGAAGCCAGCTCAACACCTGAGCTGCATGCAAACAGGTTTTAGTTCTGATGTGGAGCAGAAGCTGTTCTCTGACATGAAAACTCTGCAGCCTGAGATAATGTCAGGACTTCTGTGTCCCTGCTGGACTCAGTGAACTACAATACCCATGAGCCTTTGCTGCAGAACCACTGAGTCCAAAAGAAGAAAGATGTTATGCYGTTTCATTTGCTAAACAAATACTTTAATAAACTTGCAGGATTTACCTAAATGATAAACACTTTATGACTTTACAGGTTTACAGGTCCAGGTCAGATAAAGAGACCTGGACYTGACCAGCACTGGAGAGACAGAACCGGTCTTACAGTCTTGTAACTCACGCTCATAAATCATTCAAACCCAGATTTGATCCAAGCTCTGAGAACTCTTAAAGATTRTTCAGATCGGTTATTTAAACCTGAGCAACCTGTGGAGCGTTTATCTGACGTGTTTTAGAGACAAACGGTCCAGAGGCAGAGACCAACGCTCTGTGTGCCGAGATAACAAAACAGGAAGTGCAACAAATCTAATTTGCTGGGGTGCAGCTGAAATCCTAACAGCAGTTWAAGATACAGATAAGATAAACGGAGGTTTATTGTCTCAGAGGAAGACTTGTCTTCGTCTCAGAAGAGACCGATCTGGTCTTTAGCTCCTAAAATAATTCAAATCAAAGCTCAGGAGAACAAACACAACAACAGATTGCTGTGAGTCAGATGACAGAAACCAAAGTGCTGCCATGTCGGTTTTCCTGTAAAGTTGGTCAAGCTGTCAATCAAAGCTCTTTTCTTCTCCTCAGACTCTGAGATCGTTCCTCCGGACTGCCTGCGCCCGCGCTCCTTCACCACTGTGCGCTCCTCCTCTCTGCGGCGCGAGGCAGAYGACTCCCGCCTGTCCGTCAGCCTCTGTGACCTCAACCGGCAGCAGGAAAACGGAGGCCCCGCCCACAGCCACTCCCACCGCCACACCCTCCACCTGGCCTCGACCTCCTCCTCCTCCTCCTGCCCCATCCCACAGAACTCGCTGAACTCGCAGCAGTCCTCCCTGCTGCCGTCCGCCCTGGACAGCGACCTGCACTTCCACCAGCTGCGCGGCGCTCACATCAAGACACTGGAYGAGCAGACGGTGGCGCGCTCTGAGCACGCGCGAGAGGAGCGCACGCTGGTCTTCACCAACCGGCCCCTGCGCACCGGAGAGACCGTCTTCATCAAGGTCACCAAGTCCAGCCCCTCGCGCTCAGGCTCCCTGTCATACGGCGTCACGTCCTGCGACCCGGCGGTCCTGCGGCCCAGCGACCTGCCCTACAACCCCGAGGCTCTGGTGGACCGCAAGGAGTTCTGGGCCGTGTGCCGKGTGCCGACACCGCTGCAGAGCAGTGACATCCTGGGCTTCTTGGTGAACCAGGAAGGAGAGGTCATCCTCAGCCACAACGGCACCAACGTGGGCATGCAGGTGTGCGTGGACAACTCCCGCCCCCTCTGGATGTTCTTTGGCTTGCATGGAGCCGTAACGCAGCTGAGGATTCTGGGTAAGTCCTGTAGAGCAAAAAGCCGAACCTTTGTCAATATGTGCAGGACACTGATGCTTCATATTTTGCTAGTTACTGGTTACTGGTTCATGGCATATCTCGGGAACTAGCTGAACTTTTCTGTGGTTTATAGGATATTTTGGGAACAAGCTGAAATTTTCAGTAGTTTGTGGGATATTTTGGGATTTAGCTGAAATTTTCAGTGGTTTGTGGGATATTTTGGGAACTAGCTGAATTTTTCAGTGGTTCTTGAGATATTTTGGGAACTAGCTGAAATTTTCAGTGGTTTGTGGGATATTTTAGGAACTAGCTGAAATTTTCAGTGGTTCGTGAGATATTTTGGGAACTAGCTGAAATTTTCAGTGGTTTGTGGGATATTTTGGGAACTAGCTGAATTTTTCAATGGTTCATGGGATATTTTGGGAACTAGCTGAAATTTTCAGTGGTTTGTGGGATATTTTGGGAACTAGCTGATTTTTTCAGTAGTTCATGGGATATTTTGGGAACTAGCTGAAATTTTCTGTGGTTTGTGTGATACAGTATTTTGGGAACTAGCTGAATTTTTCAATGGTTCATAAGATATTTTGGGAACTAACTGAAATCTTCAGTGCTGTGTGATCAGATGCTGTTTTCTTCAGCTGCTTGTTGCCACACTACTTCCTGTGAACTTTGCTTTTCAGGTTTTGTTACGTCCTGGACCAACATTTACCACTTTGGAGGAAATGAATTGAKCTCTCCATGTTCCTAACTGTTTGTTGCCTGGTTTACAAACATCTGTKTGACCTTTGACTCTTGTTGTTTCTAGCCTGGCACGTGCAGATAACTGTAAATCCTCAGACCGTTTCCTTTTGGCTGATTGTTGGCTCTTCTCCGGTAATCAGCGAGGCACGTTCTGTGCTGCTAAATTAGCCTTTGGCTGGCGTTCAGCCTGACCACCTGCCTTCTCTGTGTGCATTTCTAAAAGTCATTTACTGAAAACAAAAAGCCCTGGCAGTGCTTCAGGACAGGAAGTACAGAACAATGGAACAGGTCTGAGGCACACTGAAAATCATCTTTACCTTTCAGCTGCTTTCAATTTTGAAGGCTCTCTCATCTCGCCACTGGAGTTCTTATCGGCTGCTTTGGCTTTCAGTTCRGCTGAATCAAATGGTTCGGAGTGAGAGATGTGTCCCAGAGGGTTTTGGCTCTCCAGGATGTCCCCTCAGACAAAGACAGAAGTAATGGAGCAAATCCAGCAGGGCTGTCAGGTCGGACAAGATAATAAGAGCAGGATGGAATCGATACACAAGCTTATTTACAGAAAACATGTGGCTAAAGTAGAAAAATCAATCTGATCTGACCAACGTCAAACATTCAGTCAAACATTCAGTCTGACAGCTTATGAGGAAACGTTCCATGAAAAATAAACGTGACTAAACTTTAAACTACTGAAGATTGGACTTTAAAAGGATTTTAAACAAAAATATATTTTAGAATAATCTTGATTCATCTTGACAGGAAGAGACAAATGGGACAGGAGGGACTATAGGGACAGACAGGACATAYAGGATTTGATGGGACATGCGGGGACAGGTGGGGCATATGTGGTCTGATGGAACAGGTTGAGACAAATGGGACATGTAGGGACAGGTAGGACATGCAGGGACAGCTTTTCATGAGAAGCCATCTGTCTCAACCAGATGAGGTTTGAGAGGGCAGAAAAGAGACAACAGGAAATGGTCCCGGTGTACTTCCTGTAGGACGAAGACAAAAACACCTGTTAGAAATAATAACAATAAACATGTAGAGGAGAGGCTAAAGACAGCAGCAGAGTGAGGACATGTGGACAGTTTGTGCTCCAGCAGTCTAAGTCTATAGCAGCAGAACTAATTAACTATAATAATAAGGAATAATTCAAGAAACCTAAGTC